GTTGCTCCCTTGCTAGTGAGTAAAAGTCTATGGCTATTTTTACCAGAAAACCACGTGGTTGCAGGATTGACAGTAGATTTTAAAAGTGGAAGCCTGGCCTTTTTTTCATATAAATTCTTATATTGTAATGAAAAAAACAAAACAATACAAGTACAATACACTGAGAAAACAGGGGGTTGGGGGTGATAAGGGCAGGTGACACTATGGGAAGGGATTGGTTATGGGGGCCCAGTTGAGTCTGACCTCTGAGTGGGAGGTCATTATAAGGTACCGTCAGGTACTAAGATGGATGGGGGGGGTGTCTGTATTCCAACAGTGAGATTGGTAAGTGGGTAATTGGTAAGTACAGCATATAGACCTTGATGGGAGATTGGTGCTGGAAGTGACAACACAGGAGGCGCTGTGTCAGATACAGTCCATAACAGAAGTCACCAGCACTCGAAGATACGTGCAAGAAGTATAGGCATATATAGTGACGTCACTATGTTGCCCAGAAGAAGGGATCCTGCGTAGGGGATGTATTCCAACCAACATAACCAGCTGTTTTGCAATCTTGAGTCTTTTAGGCTGCTCATCTTTTTCACCTGTAGCAACCCTTACCACGTATCCATACAAGAATAAATTAATCTCGGCACCTAAGGCATGCCAAGAGTCTACACTAAACTGCACATGTGCTCAATGTACAATTAAAAAACATTGCTGGCACGCTGAAAATGAGTTTTGATTGCAGGAGAGAGATTTAGAGTGTAACTAAAGCAAAACCCTTTTCTTTTATGGTGTAAGGAATGTTAAAAACATTTTTTATTTTGCCATCTGTGTACAATCGGGGAGATTTCCTTTTACTTCCTAAACTGAAGACAAAAACGGGAAGTTAAAGGATATCTTTCTAAGGTGAGGAAGATCCTCTCTCACCAACAGGGACAGCAATAAACTCTCGACAGGGGTTGTAAATTTTAGGCCTGGTTCACACCTGGGCGTTTTACAGCGCGTTCCTACGCTCTGTAAAACGCTCAACATGTGAAAACCAATGATTGTCTATGGACATGGTTCCCACCTGGGCGTTTTACAGCGCGTAGGAACGCCATACGCCCAAAGAAGTACAGGAGCTTCTTTGGGGCGTATTTGCCACGCGTATCCATTGGGATACAGCCAGGTAGCCCTCGGAAACGCGTGTTTGTCGCGCATTTTTTGCTGCAAATCTCGGTAAAAACATGCAGCACGAAACGCGCGACAAACGCGCATATTTGATACGCCTAGGTGTGAACCCAGCCTTAGGGATGCAGCGATACTTTTCAGATATCAGTGCAGATACTTGGCATTTTCCTGAGAACTACCAGAGTTGCAGCAGTTGCGGCTGGGACTTGTGTGTTTCTGTACCTTTAAGGAGGTGGGGCGTCCTCCTGACAGGCCTGCACCCAATTTGATATCTTCTGCCCCATGTGCTCCAAGATGGAGACTCTCATAGTTTAGAGTTAGGACCGCACTATAAGAGGTGCCTTGGCGCGGCAGTGCGGCTTACACATCCTTTGCAGAAGACGTGTATCCAAACCTCTGTCATTGTCCTTAGTGGTGAGACAAGTTGTTTTACATGCTAGTTTGTGAGTGTGCCATGATGCCTTTCTACTGGGACTGGGCCCTGTCGCTCCACCACTGTCCTGAAATCATTAGTCTGTATTGTTTTAGAAAAACTGTCACATGACACTAAACAAAAATGTATCTGTGAGTACTTGGGAATGTATCAGTACTTGTACTTGCAAAACTGGTATCGGTGCATCTCTTTA